GTGTCCCAGTGTCAGTATCACATAAGACTTAACTCTTGTTTTCTGAGCAATTTGCAGCCCACTGCTGTAGTAACATGTTGAATTAAGAAATAATTTAAAAAATTGGTTTGACCTGTAAACAGAATTATGGCTCTTTGGTTTTGTGACAGAGCTAATATTTTGCTTTCAAATGAGGGGAAATGATACAGGAAAAACCTTTGCATTGAACTTCAAATACTTTTCGTTGTATTCAAATCCCTTTTTCATTAAAAAAAAAGAAAATCTGCATCCAAAGGACTGGTCAGGAAACAGCTGGAGTGAGAATGATTTGAAAATTTTTAACATCTTGAGTAAACAAGGTGATAGGAAACCAGATGCTACCAGAGTCATAAAGCAGGCATAAACCAGAGCTGCTGTTGAGAAGTAATGCAAACTAATTCCTGTCTCAAAACAAAGATGTGCCAGTATTTCAAATGACTTGTAAGCTCAATGACTATCTCGCCTTCTTTCACTTTGTCTTGGACTGTAAACCTTGTTACTTGTTGTCTGTTGTTGTTTTAAGCCCTTCCTCAAGGGACTTTCAACTTAAGCATGACAAACAGCTCTTTTGCCCATGGGGTGGGAATGGAAGCAACTTTCTAAATGGGGGGGTTGCACAATTAGTGTGTTCTGTTTAGTATATGCTGGAGTAACTTTTCAGATTAGGGTTTTCTTGGGTACTTATGCTCCTCCTTTTACTGCCTTTTTCAAAACTTTAAAAATTCTGCTTCTCTAAAGTAAAAAACCCATATTGAATACATATTCAATGTTAAAATGCAGCTACTCACACTCCCCAAGATTTGCTGCTAAAATGGCTTCAATAGCTTTCATGACCTGCTAGCAATCTTCATATTGAAAGTAAATCAAAAACTCTGCTGCTGAAAAATATGGGGGTTTGTTCTGGTAACAAGAAAATTATATGTAGAGAAACAGGAAAAAAAAATGCAAGCTATGAAATTAATCCAGTATGTGAGATAAATTGATAAGTTTGCGTGAAAATGCATTCACTGAAACACTGTCAAGGATAGTAAGTATTCTGTGACCCACCAAATTAGTATTAATTGTGGAAAGGAAAGTTGTTTCTCCATTGCCATCTTGTTTGCTAACCCTCATGGACATTTAAAGAAAAAGGAGGAGGCGGGGGCCGGGGGGGGAAGGCATGAAAGCATGCTGTACACTTCACTTATGTAACCCACTTCCACGTGTTTCTCTTCCAGTACCTGGCCAGCCTTGAAAATTGTGTATCAGAATAGAAGCTATAGATGTTCCTTCAAATGTGAATGAAATGTGCAACATAGCACTTCAGTGTAACTTTCATAACAGTGGCTTAATTTTCATAGTTCTGATTATGTGAAATGTACTTTAGTCTTAACTGACACCTAACTAGTAAATAAAAGATGTTTAAAATTCAGTCTTTATCAGCCACGTGTTTGCTTAAAGAATAAGAAATTCTGAATCACATAAAGTGACTGGGTTTATTAACATGTGATTCTCCTATGCAGGACACTGGAAAGATATGGATGTATTTTTCTCCACCCCCTGATTATTTGTTTGTGATTCACTAAACATTTCCATGAGCCAAGATAAAAATAAACTGTGATATGACTGCTTTTCTCCTCTTCTTCAATTGTAAAATAGCAGAGACTATAAGATCAGACACACCTTACCTAGTTTCATTTTCTACTTTTATCCTTTTAATTGAAACAAAGTGTGGGTTTTGTTTGTTCATCTTTTTCCTGACCACAGCTTTATCAATGAAGTTTTATGGATAAAGCATATGGAAGCTTTACTCCCTTGCCCCTGAGTTGGTAGTCTGCTATGTATAGTTAGGAAAATACTAAACATTTGTCTGTATACTCTTGTGTCTTTATCTGCTCTAGAAAGGTGCAAGTCAATCTGGGAAGCCATTAAAAATGACACTAAGTGCACTTCATGAAGAAGGCTCAGTATTTTAGAGAATTTAGACTGAGAGTGTAGGGTGATAAATGATCCAAAGTAGTCTTCATGTCACGCCTGTATACATCTTCAATGTGTAAAAAGAAAAGGCAGTTGCGTTTTCTGGGGCAGTTCTCCAAACCTGGAGGAAAATGTGATTACGTAGTAGTTTGGACAGAAAAGACTGAGGGAATAGATGTTGTCTTTCATGAGACAAGGAGTTGCAGGCATCACTGAGGCAGGAAGATGCAAATCTTTAGCAGGTTTCATTATGTTTGGGAGCTGGTAAGTTAGAGTAATTTATCAAGTTGGGGTGTTTTTTTTTTTGGGGGGGGGGGGGGGGATGTGACCTCAGCACGTCTTAGGCTTGTGTTAACAGGGGTTTTCTCTATTTTTTTTTTTTTTGTTGGAGGAGGTAAGAAAAAAAAAAGGCCTTTTGACATTTTGAGAATATTTGTGTATGTTAAGTTTTGAAATACTAAGTTAAAATTGTACTGTGATATTTGGCTGTTTGTGCTTACATGAAGTCTTTAACATTCAGCATGCTTTGATCTAGACAACAGGCAGAAAAGCGAAATTATTAAATGCTGAATATTAAATGCACAAACTTGTGATTTTTTTAAAAGCTTTTGTTTGCAAATAATGTTTATTCAGATCAGTGTACGATAGTGATATAATAGTTCATTTTCTTTTGGAAATCTTACTTTTGCACTGATCTGCCAGTGAATTAATAAAAATTTAGATTTAACATTTCAAATTTAGTTAATCTATTCAGATTGGTAATAGTTAAACACTGTGAGTAATTTCATGGAATTTAGTGCTGTGTTGGCCTGGGAGTGTAAAGGGCCCATTTTGATATTTGTAACCACTTCACTGTCTTGTTTAATTAACTTGGATTGGACCATACCATCTGCATGTGTAAGAGTAAACATAGTGTGTAGCAGAATAGTTGTGTGCAGGCTGGAATATTATATAGGGCTAATGGTATTGGTTTTGAAGCTGGGTTTTTTTTTGTATAGCCTCTTTTCCCATATAAGTAGAAAAATTCCTAAGGAGCAAATTACAAAACAGATTTACATCAACTTAGTGTGACTACTATGTCAGTTTGCAATTTACAAAAAGTACCTGCTGAAGGTGTGGGAAAGTGACATTATGAAATGTCATGAGTCTTCAGTATTTAACCTCCTTTTTTTCTTCTGAAACTTAATTTTCGGTGATGTCTCTTCTTCGCTAGTTAAGGGGAAGAAGCCATATGTTGCTAGTCTACTTTAAGGATTTATTTTACTAACAGTGGAATTAAGTAATAGCATGCATATTATTTTGATCTCTGGACATAGCTTATGATACACGATGTCATTCCATGTGTGCTTTCTCATGCACCCCAGTAGCCATTAGCCTCCCTGGGAAAACTCCATGCTGTTTCAGAAGAAATATGAAAGCAAATAATCACCACACATATTACTACTTAGTCTACTCTACCTTTGCTGGAGGTGTGAAGCAGTTAACCTTTATAAAACTTGTAAAGCTGTTTGTTACTGTTACTATTTGTTATTAGATTGATTGAAATGAGTATTTCCTTGTCCTACTTCTAGCTTCATGTTCTTGTCAAAGATCATAAAGTAAAAATGACTGCTGAGTTCTTGTCGTCATTGCAGCACCCAGACCACTTTAATTTAGAGATAACTGATAGCATCATCTTCATTTGATTACTTGTTTTCTAAGTTCTGATCTGGGTCACTTGTCAAGATGACAGAGCTGAAGGAACTCTAAAGCACGACTGGCTTTATACAGTTGTCTGCAACAGGCTGCAATTGCTTTTCAGTTTTGATTCCTAACTCCCATTGCTCCTTTTCCTCTACCTTACTCTCCCCTTTCTTTGAAATATATGAGACACCATTTGAGTGGACAGTTGAAGCATCAGATGCTCTGTCAGTAGTGTTTGCCTTCTACTTGGCCATAGGGGTCACCAGATCTGAGCAAGAAATTCCCCTTGTGTGCAGGTAAACTAAAAATCTAAAGCATTCTGATCTCCTAAAAATGCTTTTTTAAAAAAATTGTCAGGAGCTGAGAGTCATGGCTTGACTAATAAGTGTTGCAGGCAAAACATTATTCCTAAATGTTTACTCTTTTTGACATTAATACTGCCGGTATTTGAAGTTTCATTTGAAAGCAATGTCCTTTTTTTGTCTTGTTCCTTCGTACTAGGATTATTCCAGTGATGATACGAAACTAGAATACAACGTAGATGCAGCCAATGGTATTGTTATGGAAGGTTATCTATTTAAGCGAGCCAGCAATGCCTTCAAGACTTGGAACAGGTAATTATTCAGAACTTCTATTTATTAGCTTATTAAGATACTGTTTAAGCTAAACTCTAATCTGATTTATAACCTGTGCAACTCACTGATTCCACAGTTTTGACAGAACGCTCAGACAACTCCATTAATTAACATAGAGATGGCACTTCATTTTTACCTTATCTCCTGTCCTAGTTGTTTGCAAGCCTTTTTCTTATATTCTTACATCTTAGCCTGGAGAAGTCCTATGTATGGAAAACTTGCTTTGTTGTGTTCAGTCTGGCTCTGTAATTGCATTTTGGCCTTACTTTGGGGTTAAAACAGAGGAATCCTTATGATTGTATACAGTAAGCTATGTGAATGTATATGCTGGGAAAATAAGTGTTAGAGGACAAAGTAAAATGGAAGTTGGAAGCAGGGAAACGTAGTGAAGGACTCAAGTACTCAAGGACTTTAGTTATTTTTCCTGAAAGATAAGCATGCGATTGTTATCCTTTACAATTCCTGTCCTGTGCAGTGACTTCTGCTTAGTAGTTTTGTTGGTCCTGTTGGGAATTCAAAATATATTTAGTCATGTGTACTTAACAATGTGTATTTTACTGTTGTTTAAATATTTTTCTTCCTGAGTAGGTTATCTTTTGCATTTCCAAGGGTGTATGCTGTTTTCAAGGAAATATTATATATGCTGGAGCATTTACAGTGTAGTTTGATACAGTTCTTGACTTTAAAATTCAAGTTCTTGTGATACAGACACAACTATCTTGTATACAGACACAACAACTTTTTACTATCTTATACTCTGCAATTTTTGCAGCAGTGCTTCTTTTAAACTATACAAAGTGTTTCAAAAGTCAGAATGTCCGTTTGGATATGTGGTCCCTTCCAACCTTAATTATTGTATAGTTCCTTGAGCATCTTTGGAACATCACAAGTCTATAACAAATTGGGATTGCCTCACTTAAATCCATAGACTGACACATGGGGCAGTGGTGTCAGTAAGACTGTATCTGTATTAGCAAGTCAGGTGTGACTAGTATAAGGGACTTTTTACTTTGCGCTGCTTCTAGTCTGGTCTGTGGTCTGATTATCTGCCTGTAGTTGTAATGTACCTTCTGGGTTAGTTCCATCCAAGCAGAATTCAGAGTTCTCCAAGACAAAGGACAGCGAAGGGAGAAAAAACTGGGAGATATGCTTCAAAAGCACGTTCCCGGTCTGAAGTAAAGCATTAGTGTAAGCACACTGAGAAAAATCCCCAGTAACAGGGTAGGAAAGTGTCCTTTATTGGATTCTCAGCAGGCTGAAAGGATCCTTTTTCCAAGGTGTTTTGCAGGATTGACTTGGTAAGTGACTGAAGGCAAAACTCTGGCTCGCTTTCTGGGTTCTTCTTTTGGATAGCATAAAAGTCTTACTCTGCAGGGAGGTAACAGGAAGGAGCAGGACAGGAGTGTTGGAAGGTAGCTGAGAAATATTCTTCTTCCACGTGGCTTTGTACCTAGTGAAACTGTACATGTATCTTACCTTAAAATAGTTAGAGAATAGGATTCAATTAAAACTAAATTCTGCATGTTGGAAACTTTAATGGACACAAAATAAATATGTGGAAGTCATAATTAAATCAGGATACACAATGACATTCTTTCAGGTTAAGTTACAGGTTTGAACATCTATAATGAAAACATATCCAAACAATAAGTTATTTAAGAGCCAAGGTAAACAGCTCAGTAATGAGTCAGAGCTGCCTACTTTTACTATATAATTTATATTTGCTTACAGGTTTTTTCTTCTCTTTTTCACAGGAGTATTCAATAAAGCTAAACCTTTAACCTTTTTTTAATCTTAGATTCTTGATAACTTATCTCACCGCGATAGGCTAGTTGGATGCTTCAGAACTAGGCAGAGAACAGCACTGGATATGCTATCTATAAGATAGCATAAGAAATTGAATCAATCGTTTTAATTTTGTACTTCACATTCACAAACCATTACTAATTGTTATGAAACCACTACTACTATTACCATACATAAAATATATGTTTAAGACCTTAATGAAGACAACTATTAGTTTCTGAATCTTGCCCCATTTTTGATGTTTTAATAGAAATAGAGAAGTATTTTTCTTATTTTTATTTCTGAATACATTTGTAATTGATTGCTACATTGTAGGCACTGAAGTGGTCATTGCCACTTTCCACAGCCTATTTCCACTGATGGAATGCTTTACTTATATAATATTGACGTTTCAGCTGCAGGAAGATAGTACTGATTAAAGTTTACCATATTTTAGAGGTGAGGGTGTTTTTCCAGTCACTAGGTAGAGTACAAAAAAGGCCTGTGTCATTGCATTAAACTGTTTTGTGTGAAAAAATATACAATGAGATACCAAAGGAGGAAACATTTAGAGAATGATCTATTTTATATGGGAGAATTCGGGGCTGAAGTCAGATCTCAAACAGACAAGATATTTTTCAGTGTTCTTATCAGATAGGTAGTTTGCTGCTTCATTATATGCCCATCTTTGGAGGAGACGGGTGGAAAATCAACCAGCTGAAACAAAACCGGAAGAATTTGCCTAGAACTAAGTACTGGAATTTCCCGATGTTCTGAACCAAGGGTGATGGCACTGATCTTCCTTGTGAACAGCTGATTGCACTGCCAGGAGTAATATGTATTTAAAACGGTAGCTTCTCGTTTCCCTCTGTTGGTGTCAGTTGATATTTTGATGCTTCTAGACCTTTTCAAGTGCTCCTTTAAGACTGAATTAAAGTCACCAAAAGTCATTGCAATTACCGCTATTGGTGTATACTTAGCAGCATTAAAAACATAAGAGAAAAGGAAATGCTACAATGGATTTTGTCTGGGTTTGGCATGCATCAGTATCATTCTAGCTAACAATTATTTAATTGTGATGCTTCCGTGTATGTGTCTTGGTCAATGAATCCATGGACACCATAGTGGATTATGTTGGAAAAAGTCTGGTTGCTGGGGGAGAAAAAGATCAAAACCAATCTAATGAAGCCTTTTGAAGGGAGGGCAGATCTGTTCTAATGAATGAAAACTTGTTTTGTTTCCGATCCAAGCTAATTTCTTGCTAGGATGATGTAGTTTCTTCCTGGGGCAGCTGGCAACTTGGGTTTAATTGTCTGAAGACTTTAGTTATTTGGGCATTTGCATTGAGTTTGCTGTTCTTGGGATAGTTCTGCATGACACTGGCTTGAGAAACAAATAGTGTTTGAGCAGGTTATAATGCAAACCACAAGAGCTATTTGCAATTCAATGTTGCTGTGCTTTGAAAGGGATGGAGATTCTGCTATCTCTTTTTATTGTGACTAAATCCATAGTGTGTAATGTACACAAGTATTTCAGATAATATACTTTAGTGGAATCAAAATGATATCTTTATACTGCAAAGTCTTACAGTAACAGGTATGGAGACATTTTTTGAATGTATGTCTGTCTGTAAATGATGTATCTTATTGTATACTATTTTTCTTAAGGCATCAGTAACTGAAATCAGGTGTATTTATTATTGTGGAGCAGTAGGTGGAAAGCTGTTTTGGTTCCTAGAAATTGAAATGAAAAATAAGTCCATATCATAAAGAAAGATATGCGTGAATAAATATGTGTCGGGAAAAAAGCATTTGTCACACTAGTATGTTCCGGATAGTTTTTAGGTTGGATGTCTTAAATGTTTTCCTTCTTAATTCTGCTGTATAGTCAGATCATGCTACTTCTTTGCTTATTTTGCTCATTTTGCATTTTTCACTCCTTTTCCTCCTTTCCCTTATGTTTTAATCCTACCCCATTTTTTCACATGACAGGAAAAAGCCAGATCACATCAGGTACCAACCAGCTTCTTTTATACCTTCCCAATGTTTCTTTGGCACGCAAAAAGCTCTTAATTAACCCTGCATTTAATTTTGATTACTTGCAATGGATGTATAAGTGGCTCAGTCTAAGAAAATAACAGAAGGATTCTGCCTGGGATGCCAGTATACCTGCTCCTCAACACCTTTACAAGAATTAGAAAGATTGAGCTAGTTTTAGCTAAAAAGGAGTTAAAGCAAAGTTTCTGCACTCAAACTTCTGAGCATACAAGATCAGTGTTTTGACTTCTTCCAATTGTAGTTGGTGAGATTTTTCTTATCAACTGCATTGGAAATATAGATGTAACTTTTAAATGTTGTGCATTCTTAATCACTCTATTTTTATTTGCGTGCTGGTAGCAACTAGCGAAGAAAACCGTTTCCTTTTGAAAATCAATGACCGCAATTATTTTTTTTTATGTAAAACTCTAACCTAAATTTTGTATTTCTTTTTAGTATTACTTTCAGTTCTCAGAAATTGGAAACATTTTTCAATGAATTTTGTATTGTTTCCTATTTAACAAACTCTCTCCTATATCTGACAGAATGCCACATTGAAAGAAACTTTGATAATGGTCGGTACTTACTGCACACATGTTGCCTAAAGGTTTATGAACATTAATTCTTAGAAAAGGATAGATGTGGCATACCCTACAACAGCACCTTCAGTACAGACACTGAACCTCAGAAGTTCCTGGCTGTTTCTGCTGTAGACCCCCAGCAGTCTGTTTCCTACAGTAATGAGTAGGATTTATTGATGATACTTGGTTAGTATGAAATAACTCAAAGTTTTTGGCCTGAATAAAACTGCTGTGGTGCCGACACGTTGGAGGGGACTCTACCACTTTTATTTTTTCAAGCATATAATAAAAGGTATTAACTTTATTTTCTGTTGATGTCTATTACAAAAGTGTGATCTACAAGTTCTACTACATTAATTGTTGATCTTGTTCAATAGAAGTTTCTTAAAAAAAAAAAAAAAAAAACCACGAAAAAACACGAAAAAACCCAAAAAAACCCCCAAATTGAAAACCCCACACTTGGGCTGGACTGGAAAGTTCTCTTAAACAGATTTAACTACTAGGAAGAAAAGGGGCTGGAAGACTTTGAAAACTCTAGTCTAGAGTTTAAAGATAACATAAATTTGTTCGACAATTTGTGTGCTGACTTAAGCTCCAGTCTGATCAACTGGGTATATGTATTTCAGTAGCTCAGTAAATATTTATCCATAGGACAAACGAAGCATTGTGTTTATGAAGTTAATTATATGACCTAAGGCCATTATTAGGGATTTGCTCCATTGCATGTTATCTTGGGATGAGACTGCATTTTTTTTTTCCTTTGACTTAGACACTGCTTTTCATGTTTTTTTCTATTTGGTGTTATGTTCAAAAAAAACACATAAAAAGCCTGAGATTATTTTCCTTTTCTAGTCTGCTCCTTTGTTGAGATACCTATTTAAATATTAGCAATAACCTGCCTTATGCTCATAGTTGAGCCTTAGTTACCGCATCTGTGGTTTGGGTTTTTTTTTAATAGATGATTAAGGTGATACCTTTTAAATAGCAGTGACCAAAACTGTTAATAAATTGAAAAAAAAAATAGTTAACTTTTTGCATTATTCTTTTCAATTATCTTAACCTAAGATGACTGTTATTATGTTGGAAATCCAGTATTAAAAGAAGATCCTGTTGTTGCTTTTTAAATTAAATATATCTGCACAACATTTGAAAAAAAAGTTAAAAGGTAGAATCTCATCTGTCTATTAAGTACTAAATTTTCTAACAAATACTAGATTTTCTGTTTTTAATCTAACTTTTTTTATATTTTAAATTTTTCTTAACAATCTTTGTGTGCTTCTTTTCATGAATGGCTTGTGGTGGTTGAATAAATATATGGAGCTCTTGTTACTAATTGTAGTAAACTGTACCTTGAAGTTCAACAGCCTGTGGAGAATAACAAGATATGTTGCAATACAATATTTTGTATGCTGTTACCATTCAAACTAATTGGCAGTGCAGAAAAAAGTGATGTGTGGTGTCAGTGGGGTATTTGAGATAATTGAGGAATTATGCTACGATAAACATGTTACAAGCCTGAACAAAACAAAAAAGTGTAAATTTCACTGCAGGACTGAATTAGTTTTTATTCCCTTCATTTTTGTCAGTTCAAAACCAGTGATGACTGGTTAGCTTTTATTTTGTGCATCCCCAGAAGAGCTAGAAAGGGATGGTTATATTTGCTTTTTTTTTTTCCCCCTAATATTCAGTGGTCTGTTAAAACATAGTTGTTGGAGATCTGAGGCAGTCATAATTTTTCCCAAAATATGAATGAACTTCCCATTCTCTATGAATTGTATCCTATCTGAACAGTGAGTTTGACAATGAAGGATACAGTTCAGAGGAGTTTTTAAGTGTTACATTATCTTTTGCATTTTATAGGATGCTTTCGTTAAATCTTTTACTTGATGTTTTCCTACAAAGCTGAGTCTTAATTTAGGATCCTACTTAAAAATTTTTCATTGGGATTGCATTGGTTGTGTATGCAATATTATTATTTCAGCATCTAAAACTTTAAGAAATGCCAAATATAGAGAGACATTAAACCTACATGGGACAGCAACACTGTAGTATTTTCAGTGTCTCAGTAAGTTATTTCTCAGTTCTACTCAAGTGTTTCAGAAGTGAGTAGCTTACATAGTTTAATTATTTTTGTTATTAAAACTACCTGAATTTGTGCTAGCAAACAATTACTTAATTGTAGCTTGCTGCTAAAATATGGACATAAATCTTCTTTCAAATGAAAATGTTTTGTGTGATAGCTTAACTAATGTTGTCATAACATGAATGTGTTTGTTTAGGACTCAAATTATTTGAACCTTGCTTTCTTTTCTGTTTTGTCTGCTTTCCCTTTTTCATTATTCTCATGAAATACTTGCCAAAACTGACTGCGGCATTACTTTTGTGAATTCTTTTATGCAGTCTCTCTATAGACTGTGTTAGCACATTTCAGTCTAAGCACTGTAAAAGTAGTTACGTATTCTCTGCATGTCTCTTATTTGAATAGGCGCTGGTTCTCAATACAAAATAACCAACTGGTGTACCAGAAGAAATTTAAGGTAGGTATCAGAAACTGGCGTGGGACAGTTTGGGGTGTGGGTGATGGTTTTCCTGATGGATCAGGGGAAGGAGGAACAGTGCTGACATTGGCATCCTGTGTGGTCTTGAACAACCTACTTCATTTTCTAAATTAGTTTCTCCCTTTGTAAAATGAGACTAACAGCTACACTTGCAGATTTTGAGAATCCTGCACAGTGACTTGTAAGCACATACTTTATTTGCTGTGGCTTTTATTACCTTGTTGCAGAGAAAGTTTATGAAGAGCCTTAAAAGTTGTTGGTCCCAAAAGACATGTACACACTTGGTAGCAGCCACATACTCCATGCAGTTCTTTGAGCAGTTGCATTTAACTCTTTCAGGACTTCCTCTCTCCAGTTACTGCGTTCACATACCCGGTTTAGCAGTTGGGGAGAGGGGAGGGAAAAGAAGGCATGAAAGCATTTGTTACGAACAGTCAGGGATGCTATGGACATGTATTTAACGCTGAAAATGCAAGGTAGTGGATGTCTGTCTGTGCTGGTGGGAAAGTGCAGTTGTATGTTGCAGCAGCAAGTGCAACTCTGCCCCGAGCTGTGGAAGCCGTGGCCTTTTCAGTCGACTTTTGGACCCCTGCTCCTTTGGTTACTGTTCGAGAATCTGCTTTTGCACCACATAGTTGTAACTGTTCTTCGTGTTGGGAAAAAGCTAGAGAACTGTATGGAGAAGGCCAAAAAAAAAAAAAAAAGGGGGGGGGGGGGGGTAGAGTTTATGACAATTTGTTTCTCTTCAGCGTTACCAGCCCGGGTTCAGAGGCTATTCCTGGTTATCTGATGCCATCAGATGAAGGGTCTTCATTATTGTGGTTGGAAGTGAAACAGTTGACTTTGTGTGAGCACATCTGAGTTGGCCATCTTGTATTTATGAATTTCAGTTATGTTTTTATGTTATTTTTAAAAAGTGCCTTTAAAAGGCCGTTAGCTTAGAATAGAATTCTTATGAATTGAATCAAATATTCAAAACTACTGCATCCAGCTTCTGGGTTTTGTACTTGGCACTTATAATACTGCTGATTTAGGTATAATCTTTGATTTATTTGTGAGCTAATTGCATCTCTTAGAAAGTATCTTTGAACTCCTTTGGATACTGTTTCAATTTAAGGTGTTAATTATTTAGTAGATTGGATTGTAGGTAAAAAGGCATTATCCAAAATTTGTATGAAATTTTGATAAAACATAGTGAAGCATCAGAATTTATATAAATATTTTCTGCCAAGTATCTCCGATTCCACCTATTTACAATTTTATTTTTGGAGGAAAAAATTGTGTAAACAAGCAAATAGAATTAAATTATAAATAATCTAGGATTATTAGCAACTTTATCTTTCCTCTATGTGACCTGTTTTGTTAATTTTTGTCTCTTAGGATAATCCCACGGTAGTCGTTGAAGACTTGCGGCTTTGCACAGTTAAACACTGTGAGGACATAGAAAGACGTTTCTGTTTTGAGGTGGTTTCTCCTACAAAGTAAGAAGTGATGGAGCATGTTTATTTAAAAAGTAAAAAATCATTACATTCAGTTGTCTTGAAATGCAAGATTAATATTTCTCTCGGGATAGATCAAAACAGGAAAAGTATCTGAACAATTCTGTTTTCTGAAGTTTTGGCTAAGAGTAAGTGATGCTGTGAGAAGTGTTCCTAATATTTAGTTTTGGCATTAAAATAAACATACATTCTTGTGCCTTATGCATAAATGGCTTGTGGTTATGGAGCTGTTGTTGCTTAGTAGCTGATACTATCAAGCTGCTTAGTAACGTAGAAAATAGATCTCAGTTTCTCCAAATTTCTGATTGGTGTAATGAGAGAGAAACTTTATTAATAAGATGTTGTCTCAGTAGTGTTAAATTACATTTCAGAATGCACTTAATGAAACTACCAAATAAAAATATTGTTCTGCTCTAGCAGTGCAGTGTATTGGTTATATCTGGAGAAGTATAGCAGTCTTGCCACAGCCAGGGCGCAGGATGTTGATTTCTTATTGTTGTTTTCTTTCTTCGAGATGTGACCGTATTTAAATTTTTGATATAAGGTCAACCTGCTTTTTGGTTTAGATGTTATCTACACTCCACACTCCTACTTAGGTTTCTCTTAACAAATTGCTGTCCTCATGTTTGCAGCCTCAGTTGTGGTTCACTTTAACATGCATTTTGCTCCTGCTTGCCTGTATTTTTTCAGCCCTTAAGAGTTGGAATAGTTTTATACTTCATGACCTGTTTCCTTTGACTGTTGGTGTGAAAAGCTTTTCATTCTTTGTCAGAGAGCTTTAAAATCATTTTCTCTTGATCTCAGTGAATGAACTGCGTTTTCAAGGACTAACACTTGTATCTTGTGTAATTAGTCATGGAAGTAAATTGCATGTGAGGATATAAAAATGAAAAATTTGGAATAAGAAAGGGAATAGGAAGCTAAGCCATTTTCTGGGTTATTTGAAGAGTCATCAATGTGGTTTAACATTACCTGCAAATAGCTTTGAAACAAGGAGTTTGCAATTCATAAAGGGTCACTGCTTTATCTCAAAATAAATGGGTTTATTAGATGATGCCTACTAAACAATATAATTGAGGTGATAGCATGAAACTTTCTCAAGAGTCTGCGTTTTATTGAACAATGTGTTGTTAAATGTTAGTTGCTTGGTCAGTCTCTGAATCTGAGTACGCATGTATTTGTTACAGAAGCTGCATGCTTCAGGCTGACTCGGAAAAGCTGCGACAGGCATGGATTAAGGCTGTTCAGACCAGTATTGCTACAGCATATAGAGAGAAAGGGGATGAATCTGAGGTGAGTTTAAAAACCAAACAAACAACCCCCCTTTAGACACTGAAAATTAAAAATAGAGAAAACCTTTTTGATGAGAGGGAAGGAAAAAAAGAATCTGTTGTTTGTCTTCCAGTGGAAATGCAATAAAACTGAAGGCTATGATTTATATCTAATCTGTCTTTCACTCCATCTTGCTAATGTTAATTTTAGCCTGTATGTTTTAATGAGACTTTTCTGTAATGTGATTGAAATCCATAGGATTATTGGACACTCCTATATTCAGTTCTGTATTTCTTCTAAAAAGCTAAACTTTTTTTCTTCAGTTCTGTGGCTTTCCTTGGCCTTAAATGCAGAAGTTACTTTTCTAGGATTATAGTGCATTGTCAGTATCTGTAGGACCTTTATTTTTTTAATTTACTGTGTGCTTCTTTTTTTTGTTTCTTGTCTGTTTTTTAGAAACAGGAAAAGAAATCATCTCCTTCTACTGGAAGCCTAGAATCTGGCAGTGAGACAAAAGAGAAGTTGTTAAAAGGGGAAAGCGCTCTACAGCGAGTTCAGTGTATTGCTGGTAATGCCGCCTGCTGTGATTGTGGTTTGGCAGATCCTCGCTGGGCCAGTATCAACCTAGGAATCACGCTGTGCATTGAGTGCTCTGGGATACACAGGTTGGGAGCCCTTCAAAACTATACTTGGTTTGTGCATTGACTTAATTAGGAAGGGTGGCGTTTGCCTCTTTAAATGTACATTGAAGCAAAGTTAGAGACTGCTGTTTGTAAACAGAATTAAGGAAACTGCTTTATTTGCATGAACTAATGGTAAAGCTGTCTTGAGGTAAGGCACAGCCTGCAGTTACAGATTAATATTTTTTTCATGCTGTTTAGGAGCTTGGGAGTCCACTTTTCAAAAGTAAGATCTTTAACGCTGGATTCGTGGGAACCTGAACTTCTAAAGGTATGATAGGATTTTTGAAACAAGTTTCTATGTGGTACTTAGATTGTTATTTTAAAGCCACTGCATCACACAGTTCAATGCAGGAAACACTTGCATCTGTACCCAGTGCACGTCTTAAATTTTACACTCAAAAGTGCTTATAGTTGTGTGTTGGGTTTTTTTATTCACACTCTCTTCTAATACATGCAGTAGCAGTAGTCATTCTTGTTACAAACTTGTGAGTCAGAACAACTTATGGCACTTTTGGGTTCACAAACACACTTTGCTTATTAAGTTTCATCTGATACTGTCAACATATGAAAATGGAAGTCTGTTTACAGACCAATAATATAGTGGGCTGAAAAATTTTAGAAGTGCTATATCAGCCTAAAGCATGACGATCATACTTGAAGATTCAGATGTTGGCTCCTACAGCGAGATCTAGATTTCAAACTGCTACTGGCTTATAAGAGAACATTATGGAACTGCTCTTGTGTGCTGCTTGCGTGTCAAAATTCTAGCTTGAAATGTGGTTATGAAAATAATGTGACGCTGAAACACGAAAACAGGAACTCATGCATGGATGCGTGTGTGCAACTGAATAACTGATGCAAAGCATTTGTTTCTAACTGTGATGTTCTGGTACTTAGTTATTGCTTCTCTATTTCCAATGTGAATAGGAGTATTTCTCTTGTGGTTTGACCTTAAATAATTTTAGCATCAGTGCGTTCATGCTGAGGAAACAAACCAACCCCAAAACTACGCCCCTTGTCCTGTTTATGTAAATACCAGAGCTCAATATTCTACCTAGTATTAGAAGCAAGAAGTCTGTTCATTGCCATCAGGAAGTTGGACTTTATAGGCCAAATTCTCCTTAAAGTAGTATTTGCGGGCTGGTTTTTGTCTTTGGTCCTTTTTCTATAGACATAACAGATTATGTTTTAGCAAAAATGTCTGTTGGACACAGTGAATTGATTGACTTTTCTCTTGCCAGTGGGACAAAAATAGCTACCAGCAAAGCTGGTGGAAAACAGTACCTTTGTTAATGAGGCCTGCAGATGTCATTCTGATCGCACAAAAAAGATTCTTGAATGACAGATGGTCACTTTTGCAGTGATTTTTCAGAAGAGAATGGCAATTTAAAAGAGTAACTATATTTTTTTGCTGTGTTACTTGGAACTATGTCTCTGTTCACTGATGATTTCATTATCGTGACATAAAACCATGCTTATTTTTGTAAGTACGCTTTTACCAGTGAAAGTACGAAGTTGTAAAAATAGGCTGAGTGAGGTTAAAAACAACTAAATAGGTAGACAAAGCCTTTTGCAAATGTATTTGAATTTATTTATTTTGCTTCATAGCTTATGTGTGAATTGGGAAATGATGTTATAAATAGAATATATGAAGCGAAGTTGGAAAAAGTGGGAGTAAAGAAGCCACAACCTGGAAGCCAAAGGTAGTAATTTAGTAGCCGTGCCTCCTCCTTTTCTTGTTGCTTCCTTCAGCCTCCAGCTTTAAAAGATGCTGCCACTTAACTGTGTAACACTCCTTTGATTTACTCTTTGTTTCCCCTTACCACCAGTGTGTTTTGCTCTCCCCCTTTTTTTCCCCTCTTTATCTTTATTGGGTATTCATCCTGTTGGTTCCTTTTGGCTTCTCGTCTTCACTTGTTCTTTTTCTGATCTCACTCCCTCCTTTTGATGACAACTCTATAGCATCCTGCTCAGTCTCATCAATGTGGGCATGTTGATTTTGTTTCCTGTCTACTTTGCACCATTTGAGCCAGCTGTACTTGGTCTGTCAGTGCTCCTGGAAGGAGCCTGTGCCTTTTGTTTACAGTGACTTTGTTCTTGAGTTTGACTTTTGTTCCCTGATCCCCAGAATGCTCTTTTCTTTCTGCCTACGTTGTATATGAGCTCTGCTGCTTTACAGCAGCCTTCTAATGATTGTATTGCTGTCTACCATTTCTCTGATGCTAATTTCCCTTTGAAGGTAGTTTCCTAATGTTTTGTTCTGCTGTATAAGGTGTCTTTTAAAACTTTTTTTACCAGTTTTCCAGTTCTGTGCTGCTTGCTGTCAGGCAGTTTTATGGTATAGAAAACAGCGTTTTATAAAGTGTTGGCAATTTGGAGATGATAGTAATATAAATAAAGTAGGAGATTTGCAAGATATTCCTTCTAGTGGTAACTGCTTTTCAGCAGTTTCAATAGGAATAGTTTTATAGCCCCTTTTATCAGTTTGTCACAACTGGTGTGTGTCTTAAGATGATAACCTCAGGTTACAAGAAAAAGTATTTCAGTATGCATTATGGAGCTGGTGGCTGTGCCTACCTGTGGTTTGTTATTGTTATGGTTCTCTTGTGCAATCTTGATGTTCCTTTAACAAATGTTGCAATTTATATTTACCTAAGAAACTAACAATATGCTATATTGATAGGTTATTAACAAAGTAAAACATGTATAAAGGATTAATACCAAGAAGTGGTAGTTGGACTAGATGATTGTTGTAGGTCCCTTCCAACTGAAGTAGTCTATTCTATTCTAAGTAACATACAGTAGCTAATGCTTATTTATTCCACCTACCACTTTCTAAAGTATACCTGAAAGAAAATTTACGTATATGAACTTAACAAAATCTTTGTTAAGTTTTTGAGCCTTATGCAAAATTTAATCAAGAATCCAGAAAGAGTTAGACAGCATGCTCTTCATCTTTCTGAAAATGTGTCATCAGTGTGCCTTACGTGCAATGCCAAACTACAATTTTGGTTACCGGCTTTAGTATGAAGTGGATATTCTTTTAATACATGAAACTGTTAAAATACTAGCTTGCTAACTTCAGGGATTTTGTACATGACAGGCAGGAGAAGGAGGCATACATCAGAGCAAAGTATGTGGAAAGAAAGTTTGTAGAGAAACAGTCTGCATCAGTATCTCTGCTTGAATCTGGAACAAAAGTTTTGCCTCAAAGTCAGGAAGAGAAAAGGCACAGTGGCCCTGAAAAATCCCTTTTGGCAGGGGAACAAGGTGCAGCATCCCAAAAAGGTATTTACACACTTCTCTCCTTAGCTATAGTACACGTGTTCTTTTTAAAGTAACATTTTTGTATTAACTAATCTGCCTCATGCAGAGAAATTGGAATTTGTCTTTGGGTCATAGCCTAGTTTAGAAGTATAGGGGAGAAAAGACATGTTCAGAGATGTGCATTTTGAGGTGGGGAAGAGTTTAGAATGAGGATGCTTACCTTTCAGAAACATATTAACCACCTTCTTTCCTCCGTATTTTCATCCTTCTTAATTTTTCCAATAACGATCTCTCCTGCCCTATCCCTTCCTTACTGCCTGCTTTGTGCTTTGCTAACTTGCATGTCCCAGCGGTTGCTGTAAGTAGCGACGAGGCGAGGCGGGAGTCTCTGTTCTGTCCTGATGAACTAGATTCACTCTTCTCCTACTTTGATACCTCTTCAAAACTACGTAGTAGTAAGTACTACAGCTGTGGCGTGTTCAGTATTTGCACTAGTGATCCATTGTGTGTTGTGGCCATCTCCCTGCCTTTAATCCATTGTCTCCTGCTACTGCATTGCTTAGTGTTTTCATGAAATAATTTAAGCTTTTTTACTTATCCTGATCTTTTCATTTCTAATAATCTTTAACATTTATTATTATTAGAAATGTTCTGGTTGCAACATGGGACTTCATATTTTTCTATGGATATGTTAAGAATATTGAATAGTCAATAAAAAAATAATGTATTCAGGACCAAGTATAAGAGCTTGCTTTATTATCATGGTGTCTGTGATGAACAGGTAACTTACAGTCTGCATAGTAATTACAGTTTCTCTCTAAAACAGTGCAAAGCAGTGACAGTGGGATCCAGCAGAGTGCTGATGACAGCAGAGAACATCTTGCCTCTACTATATCAGCTAACAGTTTGTATGAACCAGGTGCGTTAGGCTTTGTACTTCAAGATGAAAAATTAATCACTTCTTGATAGCATGCTCTTATCAAAGAGATTAGTACTTGGTGGTACAATTCATGTCTCTTCTATCCTGGTGGGCTGAAATATTATTAACAAGGGTAATGATTGCTTGAGTGGCCTTTCTCTCCTCCAGGCTTGGTAGCAAGAATGACATTGAATCATTCTAAATGAGTTCAGAGAATTACGGGGTTTTTTTCCAGTCAGATGATACTGAGCCAGAACTTTGGGTTTTTTAGCAGAGAGCAATGCTGCATTTTGATACAGACAAGTCTCCACAGAAATGCATAATCCTTTTATAAATAGTTAAATCCTTGGAGATGGAATTCCCGTTAAGTCACAGATAATAGGCTTTTATGTGTTATTTGAGCATTCTTGCTTAATGTTTCTGTTTTCCACTTAGTGGAATTGACCATGTCTTCAAACATTACCCCCTCCTTATTCTAAGTTCTATAAATTGATTGATAAAATTATTTGCTGTCTAATATTAGCATCCTGGGCTGACAGATGTATTGAGTATGGCTTGTCAGAATATCTGAAACACTTATTTATAAAGCAAACTTATTTTTCTACATCAGAGCACTCTTCTGAGGTATGTTTTAAATCCAGTAGTTTGCAGCTGTGGTTTGTAGGCAAGCAGCAGGTGGCCTGGACCCTTTCCTTGACTGCATTGTAAAACATGATGCTGTAACTCCTGAAAGCTTATATGTAACAATGTCTTTATCTCCCAGACTTCGCTCTTTATAACTTTTATTGAGATGAAAAGAAAGATTATGCTTTAGTCCAAGAGATTATAGCCACAGTGAGTAATTGGTAAATGACAATGGCATCTTTTAACAAAAACTAGGTCAGAATCGTATTAGCCTCATATTTAGGTATATCAAGCTGTTGCAGACAAAGATATATTTGTATGACTGCATCTCTGCAGGAAATTATTCTTATTCATATCTTGCAGTATAGGATAAAACACACTTCTAACCTCAAGTAATTTCTTAGAAATGACTTGGACTAGGTAGATTGAAGGATACTCAGTCCTTCCAGTAATGTGGAGAGAATGTTTTCTGGGCAGTAATAATTCTGTGAAGTGGCCATGCCTGAATGCTGGAACAAGCTAAAGGCATCTGTGACTTCTCCTGGCAGAATGGAGCAACTATGCACAGCATTCTGCAAAACCTGAGCTACCTTATGCCAGAGAAATTACATTTTTGTTCAGAATTCCAGGAGGTACCTTTTAAAAACAGGGATTACAGATAAGAAGTTGTTGTGTTTTTGTTTTGGTTTTTTTTTCAGAAGGAGACAAGCAAGAGTCCTCTGTGTTCTGTGACTCCAAACAGCCTAGTCCAGGATTGCAGCTGTATCGAGCTGCCTTTGAGAAGAATCTTCCTGATATGGCAGAAGCATTGGCCCATGGAGCTGAAGTAAACTGGGTCAACGTAGGAGAAAACAAAGCAACACCACTCATTCAGGCAGTGAGAGGGGTACGTGATGTACAGCACCGACTGATGCGGGAGGAGGGGAAGGGGAATAATAGGGATATTTCTGTGTCACTGTTCCTTTTGAACTGCTTGCTTTGCTAATGAATGATAATGTGATGCTGCAGTTATCTTTACAATATTCTCTCAAAGTTGTTTGTGAACTATTTTTTCCTGTTAATGCTTTCTTGGGAATTATATAACCTAGTAGCATTTAAATATGATATGGAAGCAATTCCCTTTTGTTTCCTTTGCCACGTGACCCAGTGGTGAGAAGGCAGAAGAGGTTTGGCTCTTACTCTAGAGGTCTGGCGCTGAATTGTTTCTTTGCTTTGATTCTGTAGGGTTCATTGGTTACTTGTGAATTCTTGCTGCAGAATGGGGCGAATGTGAACATCAGGGACATGAAAGGAAGAGGGCCGCTGCACCATGCCACAGTTCTAGGACACACTGGGTAACTTACTGCTCCAGGATTTGTAAATGGCCATCCTTTACTGTAGACATTAATGTGAAGACTCATGAGTTTTTTCTTGTTTTCTTCAGAAATATGATACAAATGGGAGAAATAGTGCTGTCTGAGGGCCAAGGCTTTTTCTGACTTGTTGCACTAAGAGCGTATCTCATTTCAAACTGTACTGCATCACATCTTGCATTTTGGAATCAGGGCTTTTAACTGAAACCCTGTACCGGCTCAGTTCAAATGAGGACTTAATAATCTGGTTGGTGGTGCCCAAACTCTTTGCATGAATGAATTCAAAATAGACTGCAACAACTTGGGAGAGTTTAAGATGTAAGCTTAGTCAGTATGCCCTGTTTATAAAAATGAAGCATTACAATAACAGAGAAAAATAAGATCTGTTTCTACTGGGTAAATCAGGCACCTGTGAGCTGTATTTTTTCCTGTATTGATTTATCGTGCTCAGTGGTTCTTCTCTGTTGTGGTAAAAGGGATTAGGTTTTTTGGTTCTACAACGTAAGATGATACAGGAAGGTAGAGTCTTGCTTCTAAAGGGTTCAGCTCCTTGCCGCGCTAGTGTGATCTGAGTTAGGCTGTCTTTCTAATGTGGATTAATTAAAGGTTTTGCTTACTACTGTGTTAATGTCTTAATTGTTCTAGATGAATAGCACTGTTTTGATAATGTTCAAGAGACTTTTGGCGACTTAAGCCAAATATGTCGCATCCAGCTTGAATTTATTTGCTTTTTTCCTTTATTGTTGTGAAAATTATTCTTACATGGTTTTTCTAAACAGGCAAGTGTGTTTATTCCTAAAACGAGGAGCAAACCAACATGCCACTGATGAAGATGGGAAAGATCCATTGAGTATAGCAGTAGAAGCTGCAAATGCAGATATTGTAACACTGTAAGTTGTACGTTCTCTTTTTGACTGAAGTAACTAGGTTTTCCTATTCTGTTCCAAGTTAAAAATACAAGGAATGTGAAAATTCCATTACAAAAAAACAGGGAGAGCAAAAGAAAAATCAGTGCAGTATCCATAGGTGACCTCACTGTGAGATTTAGGAGTGCATTGCAGGTCTTGAATTGCAATCTTTTTTAGTGTCTTAAAGATGACATTGTTCTTTTTTTCCTAAATTGTAGGTTGCGTTTAGCAAGGATGAATGAAGAAATGCGTGAATCGGAAGGACTCTATGGACAGCCAGGTCAATACTCTACTAATAACCATACCGAAATGCAGTATAAGAAGTGTATTCAGGAATTTATCAGTTTACAATTAGATTCTTAGGACTGGAGGAAAATTTAAGATAGGTTCATACAATAATGTTTTTTATAAACAACCGACACATGTTAAAGTTCCATTGAAATTCACTGGTGTGACTTTGTCAGGTTATTTAGGGGACCTAAAAGGAGAGTTTTTAAAGTACATTATGATAGTAGTGTGTGTTACTACAGCCATTACTAACCTCTTTTGCTGGTAGTTGTCTGCAGTTTTCTCCTGTTGATGTTCCATTGAAATTCACATAATGTTAGGGTTTACCTGACATTATTTAATAGCGGCCTTCTGACCTGGGTTGCTCAGAGACGGTTGAGGAGTTCATCTTAACTACAGGACACCATTCTCCTTCCTGTGGAATGGTCCTCTTTTTCTTTTTTTTAAGAAAAAATGCTTGCACACCAATGTAAAAATGTACATCAAATATTTCAGAATAACTCTGGACAGAAATAGGAAAGTATTGTTTCCTCAGATTTTATTTTTAAATATTTTTATTTGTTAAGATACAAATAAGAAACAAAACAGTCATTCTTAAGTATGTATTTTTGTATGCATAGTATCTTACCACTTGATTGGGGGGGAAAAAAAAGGATTGGCAGCCATTTGAGCCAACTGGTATAAAGTAACAAATTATATTGAATGAATATGTGCAACGTTATTCTCGGGCACTCAGTCCCAATTTACACTATGTTCTGATGTGATATTTACACAAGCCATTTCTTCTATTATGGTATGCTTCCGTAGGAACCTAATTTATTCTCATGCAAATATCAATAATGAAGGCGCACTTGATTGTCAAGTTAGACAGCTAAAAACATGCTGCTATGCCTGGTAATAGTGAAAGGCAAACCTTATTTTTAAGGTCAAGCACTGAGTACTCCTGGCTCACTTCTGTAAAGCCCTTATGTATTTTTCCACTGATTCATAAGGATTGTGTGTGCTTATGTCTTTTACCAGATTGGAGCTGGAATATATTCAAGGGGCAACATTGAATCTCATGTCAATATCCCAGATGAACTCTATTAAATAAACCAAATGTATTTATTTCATAAAGTTTCTCCTTAAGAATAGATGTTTTTCAAATTTATTTTTAAACAAATCTTCTAGAAAATTCAAGTTAAAACAATAAAACTGCTGTAGACATTCAGACATTCAAATGCTTTCTTTGGCAGAGCAACAGATAATTTAAAAGTATATATTTGATTATGAGCTTAAATGAGTCAGAGTTCCCCACTCAGAAAATGCAGCAGGCTACGTATATGAAAAAGTCTATTGCCAATTTGGCCATTTTGAATGTAGAGCTATTTTCTGATATAATGCATAGTACTTCACTGACAGGCTGAAGGTAACAAATACTGAAGCATTTTTGAGTCTCATTTATTTTAAGAGGTAAAAATATTAACTATTGGTTTCAAATTGTAAAATGCCTTTTTCTTAAGGGAGATAGGTATTTTGATTCAAAAGCTCTGTGCGAAATCATAAATCAGTATTTTAGATCATTTAATGGACCTACCATCCAAAATTATTATAAACCAGAAAATGTTTTTCTATGGTTCATACAAAAAGCCTTAGCTGGTTACTAAACATTACAAATGTTTAGTAAAATGTTTCATTTGTAACAAATACATGCACTACTTACATAAAAATATGAATGTGTTTTAACTGGAGATGGGGGGAGACTACTTTCCCCTGACATCTTGTTTAAAATATTTTTTTAGACAGATTCTTCAATTAGGTAGATGAAATAAAAAGCTGGCGGAGTCTTTCTTTGAAAATATCTTGACCTTTCTATCAGTTTGTATTACAGTAGAATCTAGAGACTGAGTTGATACAATCTGGTCCAGATATTTTACAGGTAGTATCTGAGCCTTGTAAACAAGCAAGATTGCCAATGGAAAGTAGAGCTTGCCCAAAATCATATCATATAAATAAATATCTGAATGCAAAATAAATAGGAGCATATCATTAGAGGAATTTTTTGAAGTTCACGCCACGGGCTGTAGCACAGCATCCCAGACAGGAGATCTTGCTCTGTCTTTGAATTGTGTAGCTCTGCTCTCCTTGACTCTTTACTCACTGAAGTCTCTTTTAAAAGTTGGAGTAAATATTTGAGTGTTTTAAATGTTACTGTCAGCTAGCCTGCTAGAAGGGTTGTGTAAATGTGTAAGTGTAAGCACAAAACCTATCTCTGCTGTCACAAGGTATGATACCTTTATGTGGTCAGAGATGAGGCAGGTCTTTTTCACTGCGTATACATGTTAAATTACCTGCACTGCCCTTATTTTAGAACTCCTCTTTTCCAAAGTTACAATTCTAGAAGAAAATAAGGATTTTCAAGACAATTGTATGTTTGCTCGGAGCTATGTGAGGGTAAATATCAATGTATGACTTTGCTGTCATCAGAGTGAAGCCAACTGCCTTTTTCTTTGCTTTAGTAATGCAGTTGATAAACAATTACTAATGTAGCTAATTGCATCAACATTTCTGATTTAAATATGCCCGGCTGGTTTGAGCTACTGAGAGAATGTGTGTATTGCTTTGCAAGGTACAGTTGGTCTTCCAAAATATTCCTAGAATGGGAACTAGCTGAAACTAGCTTTTTCCACAGAAAGTTTGCTTCTGGTGGTAGAAGCCATATGCACCATTGTACTGTTTCTTGTGTAATACTTGAGTGCTCATCTTCTGGTGCTACAGTATGTCTGCTAACTATTTGATATTAGTATTGCTACTTTTTCTTCCTATCTTTTCTTGAATGTATGATGTGTGCCTTTTGAGTTACTCTGGTGTTAAATGGTAAAGCACTGTTATAGTATTTTTGTACATAAAATCTGCACTTTAGTGAAAACGTTGCTTGGAAAGGGAATTTCCAGAATTCAATTTTAAAGTAGAATTTTAAAATAATTATAAGGTTTACAGTAGTATTTTAATGCAGCACACAGACTAAAGGGGCACTTTATTTTAGTCTATTTTTGTATGTGGTATTTTTGTTATGCAATAGAGCCAAAACCAGAGCCACAGTGTATCTTGCAAAAATAGCTTTTGGTTTTGTCTTTCAAGTTAATTTGAAAGAACCAAATACGGCAACTCGAACTACAGTAGTAGTTGTTCACCGGTGGAACCCACTTCTGTATTAAAAGCATAATTGCTTTTACTTACAAGCTTGATTCCACTTTGCGTTCCTCACAGCTATTCTTTTGGTGAATGTCACAACTCCCTCCCTGCTGTGCTTATCTCCCAGGGCAAACAGTTATCAGAAACCATTACAATAAAATGTGTCCTGTGCCTGCTTCATCTCTAGAACATACTTGAAACTGAATCTGAAAACCAAAAGGGAATTTCACGGGAACTGACTTTTCCCAGTAGAGCAGCATTGAATGCATTTATTTTTTAAAGTCTGGGAAGAATTGTGTCATTCCATTTTTATATAAACCCATATGCGGTGCATGTTAAATGTTTCTGGAAGGTCAGTTATCATTTCTGAAAGTATTCAAATGAATGCAGTCTCATGTCCAAAAAAATAGTAGTTCTAACATTGGAAATGTGCATTGAGATGGAAAAACAAAACGGTGTAACCTTTTGCTGTGATGCCAACTTCTAAACAAAAAAATTCTTTTTAAAACTACCATTTATCATCATATTGGTGGTGGGGGGGGGAAATCTTCATAATCAACATATACATTGGGAGAGACTTCAGGTTGATTTCTTTGTCATGCTATTAATCAAGCTATCAGCAAGGCACTGTAGTGCCGGGATCTTGTCCTGTGTGGTCATCTGTGTTGGGAAGACAATAAAATTTGGATGGCTGCACAGTTTGTGACCAGACCAAATGTTTTATGTATTTAATTCCCTTTGAAGGCAATAGGATATAGTTCATGTTTTAAAGTGAAACCTGAACTCGAGGCCCAAAATTCTGCAGCAGATGAAAGAATGTGAAAATGTCCATTTTAAAGTGGCAGAAGAATGACTTGGCAAGGACTCAAGAAGTAATCATTCCTGAATGTGTTTTCTTGTGTAGACAGGGAGGGGGAGGGAGACAGGCCTGGTGGAAATTGCTGCCATCCCTCATTTTTGGATATGTACTAGTAGTCGGGTTGTGTTTAAGCACAAATGGTGAAGATTTAAAAAAACAAACAAACAAAAAAAAAAACCAACCCCCGCCCAACCAATGAAAGATGTTTAAGGAAGGTATCATCACTCTTACAGATAAAACTAAAAGATGTAATGAATTTTCAGTAATGCATGTAAAAAATTTATATTTGCTGAAGTAATAGACCAAAAGGATTTATGAACAGTAATTTCTCTACTTAGAATTGCTTTTTTTATACTATTGCTTGCTGATTGTTTCTTTCATGGAGAGTTCTGTCTGGCTATAAGACTTCTGACCTTTGTTTCCAAGTAAATCTTTCTTTATGCCAATTCTGCTTTTCTGGAGAGAATCTTGTTTAGCACCTCCTTGCAAAACCAAGGATTTTATTCTTTAACGGCTAATAAACATTTTTCTTTTTACATTGCTTTAAAATGCTTTCATTTTTCCTTTCTAACTCTGAACTTTCCTCTGTGTGGCTGCCCATGAGGTACTATTTCAGGTATAGTTTGGCTTTGTTTAATTTGCTTATACAGAATGTGCATGCCAGTAAACAGTCCCAAAGAGTTCACATCAGCATCATTCCATCTATAAGCAATCTTTATACGTGAATAAGCGTTAAACAGTAATTGGTAGCACAGTAGGGCATTTGTGCAATGGTGGGTGATGTTAACTATCACAAATTGTTTAAAACTGTTTCACTTTTCTTTTCTACCTAGGAGATGAAATTTATCAGGACATTTTTCGTGACTTTTCTCAAATGGCGTCAAATAATCCAGAGAAGCTAAATCGTTTCCAGCAGTCAGATTCCCAGAAGTCTTAAGTGTCAAGAAGGAAAAGAACCTGATCCTTATAGTGCAAGTCTTTTTTTACTTTAACAGAATGAATTATATATGCATTTTGTTAGTTTGGATGAAATGACCACTCTAATGTAGCTTTAGATTGTGGTAGCTGGGGAAATGTATGAGTTGTTTTATGTTCTACAGTACGTATACCTCAGCAGTTGAAGAAAATGTTCGGGTTTTTTTTTTTTAAAAAAAAAAAAGGAATGCCTGCTAGCTCAGTATAAAAATAGTACCTGTTAGCAAGTACGAAGTTTGTCTGCAGTTTGTACATAAAGTTAGCAGTGCGTAGCTGTGTGCATTGCAGACTCGGGACAGCAGGATGGTCAGACCCGCTTTGTGATTTAGTATCCTCTGCTGTCATCTGTCTCCCCGTTGCCATCAAGAATGTGCCTCTGACAAGAAGGTCTGGGTTGCATTTTCTGGGACTGTTGGGAAGGGAAATTGGATAATGACTTACTGAGTTGTTCTGTTTGTGGGCCTATAACTTAACCTACACTGACTCTGGTTAGAGGTAGGCTGTTAATAACAAGACATGGTAACTCCTGCTCTTTTGCAAGCTCTTTCACAGTGGAAGCTTTAATACCAGGCTGGCCTTTATGCTAGTGACTGCAGGTCAGTCACAATAGGTATATATCCTGGAGGACCAAACTTCTAAGAACAGTCTGTTTTCCTTTTTTTTTCCTCTTAAATTCAACTTTCTGTGCAGCGAGTATACTTTTAAGCATGTGGAACCTTTCATGAAAAATAAACTGAATCCTTCTGGACATGATGTGGGGTTTGTTTGTAATACTTTGATATCAAAACTTGAAATTTGACATATGAAAGTAAATATTGAGCCAACGGAGTTTGTGTAGAACAGTCCTACGAAGGCTGTTTCTTACCTTTTCTTTTTTGCTGTTCTCAGTACTAGCCCTAAGCTGAATATATAAAATCTCATATGTAATGCAGCCACCCTAAATTTGGGGCAATTAATCCGTTATATCAGGAAGCAGTATCCTTTATATACTCCGCAAAGATGTGTATGTATATGTGTTATCTGGAGTTAGGTGTGCACAAGAAAACCTAGGACTTTCACTGCACGTTTTTGCAAAGTAACAAATGACTATAGTCTCCAACTGTATTCTGAGGGCAGCAACACAGTTTGCTTTATTCAATAGCGAGCTCCACTCTGCTGATGTGCATGTATAAATGGTGACCGTAGATACATGCTTATGTCTCAGGTTATTTAGTTCCTAGATAGTAATCACCTGAAGCCCTAAACCAGCAGATGCAATTCTTTATGCTCTATTTGTCTGCCCTATGGACAACTTAAGGAGAATTTTTAGCTAACAGAGTATCAGTCTGAGTTTTTAACAGTCCTAATAGCCATGGCATTATGCTAACCTGCTGTTTAAACGTATTTAGGAAATGAATTGGCTTTTCTCCAAGCTGGCAAAGATAAGTAAAATTGGGTAAAAAAAATTCTGTAATCTATGGTAAAATTAAACTTTCTGGCATGTTAAATTTGAATAAGGTATTTCAAATATTTATCCTTTTGCCGCAAACATATAATAATGCATCAAATCTGGATGATCACTGCTACAAAGCTAATAGCATTTTAGAAGTGTCCAATAGATTCTTTTTCCAAGCAGAAGAATCTTACAAAACAGTTCTTGCTTCGTGTGCAGTCTAATTATGCTAGAAAAAGCAGATTCTGCCCGTTTTAAAAGTGCGTTTAGTCTGAATAATAAACTTAGGAATATCACCTGTAAGCAGTAGTTTCTAGTAAGTTGGTTTTTAAATAGCTGTCTATGAAATGATAATGGACTTCCTAATCTCCAGTATTTAACAGCAGTGGATGTTTTAGTAGATCTTAAAGTAAAATTCCCAGTGTATAGATGGGACAATGTAGGATATGGCTATGTGTAGTATACACTTTAGATGTAGTTTTTTCTAAAGAGTTATCTTTTGCAGCCTACCTGACAGGCAGTATATACTGTGATTGGCTGTAATGTAAAGCTACCTAAGGCTTAATGGCATAATCTCGCTATCTCAGTCCATGCTGCTGGAAGAATGTCTGAGACACTGATTTCAAATCTCCACTGGTGTTTTCCTTCCCAGCCATAAAAATCTCTGTGACAAATTTTGCAGGACAGCTTCTTGTAGACAAAAAGTTTCTTCCCAGTAGCTCTGCAGATCCATTTGCTGCATTCCCGACTCTGTTCTGTCTTGGAAGCTGAACCAGTCTATTTATGCTAAAGGATTTATAATATACCTGATCCACAGATTGTATTACTCTTTTCTGGAGCTCTGGAGTTTTAATGATTCAGGGAGTAGTTAAGTCACTTCTGATCCTGCAGCCTTCTTCCCCAGTCCTTTCAGGCACACTAGGATGTTCAGTCAGTATAAACTGCATTCAGTTAAAGCTGGTTTTTTAGCTCAGGTGCAATACATGTGTTAGTATGTTGCTCATCAGCAAAAATGAATATGCTGCATGAAATGCATTGAGGGCTTAGTCCTACCAAACACTGGCAGGCTTGGTGCTTCAGGGCCTCTGAAACTGATAGGATTCAGCCTTCTGTAATGCAAAGTATGATTCTCTCTCGTACTCTGAAGACCTGGATTTTCATATCGTGTTCTAACTTGAGTGCTAATCTTCTGCTCAGTAATAGAAAGAAATTTCCATTTTTTATTACAATATTAATCTGAGTATAACTAGAGTAATAGACAGTAAGGCTCCATTTTGAATTAACATCTTGTACTCTGTACTGGGTAATGGAAAGCTTCAATTCCAGTTCATGTTTCTTTGTAGGTATGAAGTATAACAGCTCTTACTTAGTTGGTGAGGTACAAAGCAGTAGATTGATAACATAGTTTAAAATCAGCTTTCACATGGATTTTTAATAATTTACTAGGTAGCCCATTGAAAGACTTCACAATATTTTTTCTAGCCAGTGTTAGATCACGTGTTCCAAAGATCTCTTGGAAAGAGAAATGTCAGGGAGCTCAACAAAGATGCTAATGCATCTTGACTTCGGAGGTATAATTTACTTACATTGCATGTTGATTTAAATGGTGTCTCTGGTGTTTCCTTAGTGGTCTGTATTATTTTGATTGTTCATAAGGTTTCATCTTTTATGTTAATGTTGGTACAGTGCATATGAACTTAAATTTTTGAATTGTACTGAATCATGCCATTGAATTATATTAGACATGCTGGAATTTGTTCCTGTAAATGTGGTGAAGGTGGTAGATGGTGGGAGTCTTCCTTTGCTTTCACGAGCTGCACATATTGCAGTCTACAACATACTAATCAACAGCAGAAACATGTTCTGACTTCAGTCTCCTTACCAATTAGGACCTAATCCAAGAACTCTGTGAAATTGTGCTGCAGTCTTTCTACTGATTTCAGAAGCTTTGGGTTGTATCATTCCTGGCTTCTAATGTTAGTGCATTAAAGGATTCTTCATTAATAGTGCATTTTTCACTCTGTGGGGTTTTATATTTTACCTGTTTATATACTGAGCTGAAATAGTTTTAGAAAATGCAACCAGACCTTCCAACTGCTGTCAGCAGATCCCCATATAAGAGGAAATTTCTCCTGTTTTGCAGTGTGACATCGGTACACACATGTTGTCCAAATTACTAGAGTTCTCCTTGATGGAGCAAAAACTTTTGTAGCACTAAAGAAAAATGTGAGAACTAGAATAGGGTTGGGGTTGACTGCGATGTTTCCAGAACTTTGGTGCTTCTCTGCAGCCATCTGTTTGAAATTGTGGATGTTAACTCTGCCTTTTGATCATGAGAATCTCAAATAACACAGTGAATATAAAAGGACCATTTCATAGAATTACAAATAGCGTGTAAGTACCAAGGATGTAACATTTTTACACTGTCAAAAGGACTGAGATGATTATTTAATACACTGAAAGTATTTTGAGTCAGTTTTGCAAACTACCATCTCTGCCCATTCACAGATGGATGCTTTTTCCCCAGTTAAGAGTTTATGCCACTTGTTTGTGCACCCTGGTAGCCAAAATGTTTTGCTGTCTTGCACAAAAGCACATTTTTAAAACGGGGACTGCTCCAGAAAGGCAGTACTGGGAAAAAGGATGAATGTACCATTTTGGTATATTGCCTTTCATACAATTGCTTTAACTGTCTGCATACGGTATTTTCTTGTTTCTCTTCCCATGGAAGGAGAGGACAGAGGAGGAAAAAATCTCTCTCACTTTCTCTTCACTTTCACACAGATTTTCCATGTTTTGATAGAAATCCCTGAAAGCATCATTTCCTCAAGCAGAGAGGTTACTCTGTCTGAAATAATGAACTTTTTTTTTCTTTATCCATGTGTCCCTCTGTACTTGGTGTTTTTTAAGCATTCCAGCAGTAAAATGCTTGTGTTCTTTTTGCGACCCCTTCCCCCTTAAGGTGTAACTGTAAAGAATGTATAACCTGCCCTAGTTCGCATTTAATAAGTCTGTAGACTTTGTATCTAAAACTTGACTGTAGTTTTCTGTAGTTTGTCATTGTAAATGAGAGAAGCGCATTATTACCTTTGTAGTTAACCGACTGTACATGCTGTAAGGATTGTAAATACTGTACTTGATTAAACCTTTGTATGCTCTCGACCGCCTCCGTCTGTGGGGCGGGCGCGGGGTGGGCTGAGGGGGGCCGCCCCGGCGCCGACATGGCGGCGGCTGAGG